CCATCTCAATCTAATATTATAATATTGATCAGAATCATAAGACTAAATAAGGCTAATTCCCAAAATGTGGGATATTGTTCTTGAAAAGTAGTGTCCACAAGTTCTTTCAGTTCCATGTATTTCTTAGATTAATTCAACATATTTAAAGAAATGTATACAGCAAAACATAAAGTACGGAAAAGTTAGTACTGCACTGTAGAATGTACTATAATTACTCAAGAGAATCATACTGGAGGAATAAGTTTTGCCAAGAAGAACATCTGCTTCTGCACTCTAAAAAACAACCCATGAAATAGTTTACTTTTCAGGAAAGATTGAAAACTGATGCTAGAAAAGCACAGAGAAGATGCACAATAACTAATACTTGAACTGCTTGCAATTTTTCTTATTGCTGCTTTGTTATTACTTTTGAAAAAGTAATTTTAAAAATAATGTAATTAACTAATTAAAAAAATTTCTAAACCTCCAATCATATTTACAGATCTCCGATTGCTTGTCTAAAATTGTATGATATCTATATACGCACAAACACGTATATGTATTTGGAAGTGCAACACTCAATGTAGACACAGAAGTTAATTTCAGACCTTTGAAAAGAATAGAACAAAAAAAGTCACTTAATGACTTTGTCTTTTTATAGATCTGCTTCCCTCTTTCCTGGCAGGTAGCAGGGAGTCCAAGTAAGACTGAATTGCTCTTGTACTATGTACTGCAAAAAGACAGACTAAAATGTAATTCACAGCTTGCTTAAAGAACAGATAGTAAACATATTAACATATGTGTTTGCAATAGTAGCAATGGTTAAAAAAAACCCTGTGTTAAAGTGTATTATGGATTTTAGACTACTGACCTATGTTAGGTCAGAAAAGGAGTCTCAAAAGATGAAAGGAAAATCTTAAAGACAATTTTAAATCACAGAATAAATTTTCCCTTTCCACAGCTATACCTGAACACAATATACCGGAACTAGGTAACCCGCTCTACCTAATCTTCATAGCAAACAGAGTGACAAGTACATATATTGCTGTATCTGCTATTATATGCTCTTAAGATTACCAACTAGAAAACCAAAAATGACAAAGTGGAGCTCCTCTAGCACTTTTCATTAAGAGATTCCTACCTGCAAGTGCAACAGAACACTTATTTCCTTGTAATTTAAATTCTATCCTGGTTTGGAATGTTACCTCTTAAAAAAAAGACCGGTAATGAGTAGATAAATGATGTTTCATATATGCAAATTCCAATCTGACAAGTTTGTAAGAGAAACAGGCTGCATGAAGAAATTACCCTTTAGTGGTATTAAAGTATTTGCTGTATAACACAAACTAGGAACTAAAATAACTCATGTCCTTTTAAACAGTTATGCTAAATATCTTGTTTTCTAGAACAGGTTCCCTGAACACTCAGTTTCCATTTCATACCTGGAGGTCAACACAGCACAGCTGCTATCTATGTAATCTCCCATCATCTCTTTATATTTGTGGAACAATTTTCTCATTGACCTGCATCCTATTTTTTCCTCAACTCCTCCAGTTTGTCAAGAGTATTTGTTGCCCTTCCAACATCAGTTTGATCTGCAAAAGTAATAAGAATACTTTGTATGCTTTTACTGAATTATGGAAATATTTATCAGAGGGCACATGCAGATCTTGGTGCAATGCCTTTTGATACAGCCTTTCAGTTTCACAGTGGCATTAATAACCCTTCCCAGAACAGTCTTTTGAACAATTTATGCCCACACTGTGGAAAGTTAAGTCATACAGCTTTAACTTAATAGGATATTCTCACAGGTGTCACCAAAAGCCGTACAGAAGCCAAGACATGATTCAAAGGCATGATTATCAAGCCAGAAAAATAAATTAGCTTATGTTAATGCTTCTGACAAATTCTGGCTGGTCCTTACTTATTCACTTGACTTTTAGATTACTTGGAACTACTGAAAGGATTTCTTCTTGCTTTTCTTCAGAAGCTGAACTCATTGGTCAGATACTGTTAAATTAAGCAAAGACAGGCTCCCTCCGCGCATCAGAAATAAAAAAAACTCCACATCATCATCCACCCACCTGTCCACCCACCCTCCAGACTCTATAGATAAATTAGCATTTATCTGTAATTATATTATTTATTTACCAGGACAAAAGGACAAATTTAATATTAGTGTATTTTGTCCTATTCAGTCTTTAATACCCACTCCTTCAAATTTATTCTCAGCTTCATATTTGATCATGTAGCCAAATATTCTTGTCTTCACTTTTCTTTCCTTTTGGCATCCATGACTTTTCCCTTAATCTCCCCCCTCTTATGAGTACAGTACTTAAATACTAAGCATTTCCTGAAATACTGTTACTAGCTGTATCTAACTAGGCCTGATCTTATTGCTCAACTTTCCACTGTTACGTGCATCTTTCTTGAGATTCAGATCATTAAAGAGCTCATTATTAAGCTGGTTGCTATTACACCTCCTGTTTTCTTCTGTTTGAGTAGCTACTGTAGATGTTCAACACAATTCTTTCAAGAAGCTGCAGAGTCTAAGTACTTTTTTACCTCTGATGTTTCCCATTCCTACTTAATAACACTGGCACTTCTAGACAACAGTAAGTCTTTTCCTTGTCTTTATTCTGGTGCTTCCTTCCCTTCCTAGAAGTTTATTATTTTAATTTCATAACAATTTTCCTCCCATATACAAATTGAAGGTTATTTTAAGACCTCCATAATTTGCATAAATAAATTAAGTCTTCTCCAAATCAGAATATAACATTTTTTATGTGATTTTATTATTGAAATAGAGCTTACCTTATTAAAGTGCAATTTTATGTGACCTTAGATGCTTTAAGGATGGGATAGTCATTAATCTCACATTCATATCCCGAAGCAGACATTTTCAAGTAAACGTACATCTTTGTCCCTAAAGAGCACTTTTCTTGTGCAGAAGGCTCATCTTCATTAAAGAAGGCCTGAGATAATCACAGTCAGAAAATGGTCATGATTGGCGATTGCAATGGAAGATTAACTGGAGGGTGTTTAACAACTGTGCACCCCGTAAAATAACCAAAAAAATATATATATTTTTTAAAAATACTTAATCAATGGAAGGCTATTTATGAAGTTATAGCTCTACATGATCTATTGAGGTGTACTTGTGGATGCTTACAAGAATACAATATTTCATGAAGAGAGCTAGCAGAATAGTTAGGAAGGCAAACGTCTCTCTTGGACTGATAAAACTGAGGTCAGTCCTCTGTAAAAGCGGAAACAGCAACAAGAAAAAAATCAACATGCAAGTATTCACACAAGAAATTATGTACAGACATCATTAGAAACCTGTTAGGTAAACACTGCATAAATCACTAAAAGTTAGGAAAAAAAGTGGGTTTAGTAGATAATGTAATTCAAAAGCAGCAAGACAAAATGCTGAAAAAATGAGTTAATGTTAAGCAGCTTGGAAATCTGTTACAATATAACTTTGTGATAAATTTTAAAGTTAATGAAATATAAAAAACCTATACAAAAACTTCTGGCTAAACAAAAGGAGATCAATATCAGATTAAGCAGATTTTCCATTAAAATAATCGTACATACATATTTCAGTGAGAATTATTTTTTTCTTCAACAAAAAAATAATTGATTTGCTAGAAGCTGAGCACAGTGGCTATTTGGCTTTAACCCGAAGGATGAATATTTAATTTTTCAAGTGAAGGAACTTAAAAAATACTGAGAAAGGTTCACTGAGTAAAGTAAATGATTAAAAAAATATAAATGAAGTCAACCAACTGAGCATAAAAATATACATATAATGTGTCTTGTTTTTTAGACAGTAGACAATGATTTCTTGTAACTCTACAAATAAAACTAGTCTTCTTCAGAAGTACTTACAATTTGTGGAAAAAGCAATATACATATGGTCCCCAAAGTGAAAGAGGACTATCGGATCATGAATCAGTGGTCAACATATAAAGTCTTATCATAGACATGTTGTAAACATTTTTCTTAATTAAGATCTCAATCACCTTTGGTATAACAGACTCCTAGGGAATCTCTGATGATACATTTTATATCCAACTTAAATAAGAGGGAAAAGAAACTGTTTAAACACTTTGCATTTAAAGTACACATCACTTAAAAATGCAGTATACATATATGATCACAGTTTAGAACAGATCTTTTCTTTTAATAAAGTGCTCCTGGCCTATAAATATCAAATCTTAATTGTTCTGGCCAAAGATCCACTTCTGGAAGGGGTCTGATGGATTACAGGATGCCAAACTCGGATGCTCTCCATTTCCAGTAAGGCACATACGTAGCGCTGCATTGTACAGAGTTTGATCCTAAAGTGAGTAAAACAGGAGGAAAAAAAAGAAAGTGAACAAACAATGCACATGCTATTTCCCCCCACTCTTTGTTTTTTCCCCAAGTTCATTTTTGTTAAAGAGTAAGGCCATACAGATAGTTCAGGGGGGGCTAGCAAACACATATGAATAGTATGCAAGTGCCAACTTGTTTTGTTAGGAAAAAGCCTCATCCAGGCTGGATGAGGCTTTGAGCAACCTGGTCTAGTGGAGGGTGTCCCTGCCCATGGCAGGGGGGTTGGAACTTGAAGATCTTTAAGGTCCTTTCCAACCCAAACCATTCTATGATTCTATGAAAAAAAAAATTATAAGATGCAAAAAATTTGTATTGACTTCCAGGTGGATGCGCAGACACACACACTAAAGGATATCAACTGTTTTTGTAAGTGACATTTCTACTTTACATTTAAAACAGTGAAATCATCAAGTTTTGATCTGGTAACTGAAAAGCTGAAATTATCTAAATTTTCCTCCCAGAAATAAACTTACTCCTTTTTGACTTCAGAGTTTTGTTTCATTGGTGTTTTCTCTTTTACTGGAAATAAAAAATTAACTCATATAAAAGATCACTAATAAAAATACTGATTCACTGTGCAGTCTTAATACCTTCTGATGCAGCCATTGCTGTTCTCCAACGGCAAAGGTCTTCTGGCCTTTGTAATTACATTCGCGAAGCTGCACAGGTCCTTTAGAAGCATGCAGACAAAGCTCCTTCTGAATGTTATGTCGAACTTCATGGTGTGCAGAATATTCAAAGTACTATTTAAATAATTTTAAAAAAATTAAGTAAATAAACACACAAACAAATATTATGCTAAATTAACCCTCTGAAATTCCAGTACACAAAGTAATAGATTTTTTTTGTAATTCAACAATTTGAGACTACAGAATAATTTCTCTGATTTTTAGCATACACGCTTTAAAAGTATTGACAAATCTAAAAGCAGTTTTTTAATGCTAATGCAATGGAATGTATTTAGAAGTACTTAAATGTATAAATTGTAAATGACACTTGGTGCATATGCATTATGATGCAAGATCTCATTGCTTGGTCCCTCAGGAGCCATATATAATTCAAGGGCACAAACTGAAGAGTGAAGATAGCTGCATGGGTAACTGAAATTTTGGCATTTCTTAACTTTAAAAATATTTATTCAACTTTTGTTGCTGGATTTTATTTTTTCTTAGAGCAACGAAAAAAAATTGTCACATAGAACAATACTGATCACTGTACATCAACTTTTGGTGTTTGATCTAAACAATAAATGCTAGCAGTAGGATGCTGTTATGTTTTCTTGTGAGCTAGTCATTAGAAAAGTAATACAAAGATGTATTTTGTGAGTGAATTTAACCATTATTTCCTGACAGCAGATTACTCTTAATGCTCAGGAATTCTAGACAATAATTACAGTCTTAACAGGGATTTAATTGTAACAGTTACAGACACAGTTGTCTTTTTATACCTCTAGTCCTACCCTGCCATCCTGGTCTCTTTCTCTTCTCCCTCATTAAACAGCAGAGTTCCTATCATTACATCCCACTACCACCGTTCCATGTGTCAGCCACCTCCACCATATCTTTCCTTTGACTATTAAGACTAGGCTCAGTTAGCTTCCTGTGGCTTTCAACTATCTGTCCAATTGGTCACCTTCCACCTCCTTGCTGCCTTGGCAGCAATGGGAATAGCACTGAGGAACGAACAGCCATCTCACTCTTAAAGCGTCTGCGCCCAACATTACTTCCTGAAACAGGTACCGATAGGAGCAACCTGCTTAGTCACTGGGCTCTCAGACACAATAATTTACTCTAAATCTGTTAATCTGACTTAATCTGTTCTGATTTATCTTTTGAACTCCAAAACCTCTGCAAACCCTGAAAATCCATTGTTGAAAGCTAGGTTTAAAACTTAATTTTGGATATTGAGATGCTGTTGAGTTGGCCATGTTTCCAAGCCCCCGAATATTCTAAAAAGGAAGAATGATAAACAATTGGTGTACAACTCTGAAAACTATGCTCTCTCTTTCACTCCCTCCTCCCATCTCAAACATATGGATAAAGACAAGTAGCATGGAAAATTTCAGCCTACGCTGCTAAAGTCTGGTAAAGAACATAAACCAACTGAAAATAGAGTATTGTAATGAGAAGGGTTAAGTAAGCAAATATGCACATCTCTTGAGCACTACCAGCAAAACTTATATTAAAATTCTCTGAAGGCTGGATTTTGAAAGGTATTCAGACTGTTATTTTATGTCAGGAGGAAAAACAAAAAACACAACACTTGAAAGCAGAGAGTTTTAGTACAGTCCAAAATAACCCAGAGTGTGATGACAATATAAGCATTCAGCAGATCTCTTAATACAATGTGTTGGTACAGTGTTCCCACATTAATGACTGTGACAATGCAAAAAGGCTAAGATGGTATTAATCCACAACAGAGTAAGAAAAAACATTCAGTACTGTAAGAAGCTAGCATAACAGGGTAGTTGTTAATCTAGACAGTGTTCTATCTCCCACTAAAATTTATTAGGAAAGCATCAACTAACTAGGATCATTATATATTAGGAAGAAATTCTTTACTGTGAGGGTAGTTAGACACTGGCACAGGTTGCCCAGGGAAGCTGTGGATGCCCCATCCCTGGAGGTGTTCAAGGCCAGGCTGGATGAGGATTTGAGCAACCTGGGCTAGTGGAGGGTGTCCCTGCCCATGGCAGGGGGGTTGGAACTAGAAGGTCCCTTCTGACCCAAACCATTCTATGACTCTATGACCTTTAGTTATTAAGGATCTACAATTAATAAATTTTATTCATTAAATAACTCTTCAAGGTAACAGAGGAGTGTTAATTCCTGGGCAGGGAAGGAGACGTTACTTTTATTAGTATTACAGTTGTGCCTGAAGGATTCAGTATCTAACATCTATCACAAGTCATACTCTAGAAAAAACAGAGCACCAGGGCTGCCTCCATGAGCTATGCATCAAAGAGAGGTCTTAGACAAATCATATTATTCACTTGCATTAGCCTGTAAAGGATAGACCACCTTGACCTCACGCTATGAGGCTGTAAGCATGATGGGGAAGGTGGCTCAGGCCTGGCCACTTGGTCTCCCATTGGCCGGATTCCCACCAACATCTTCCTTGACAGTGCAAGTCCTGGTGGCAGAGAAAGAAGCAATAGAAGGAAACATAAGGAAAGGAAGAATTAAGAAGACATCAGTTACAAGAAAGTAGTAAGCATAGGATGAAAAAGTTTTGCACAGAAAGGACAGATCAAGTGAAGCAGTGCAATTGTGTTAAAAATCTGAATCTGTATGCTGAACATAAAAATGTTAGAAGCAGGGCACAACATGAAGAGCAGTATGAAATTTTCCTTGAACAATATATATAGGAATTAACCAAAAAAATAAAAGGAGGGTGGGGGAAAGAGAAATTGAATATTAAAAATAAGTCAATTTCTCTAAAATAGATGAAAACCTCTAATATGGTAAAGTTACAGCTGAATACATCATAAAAATCAGGTATCAATTATTTTACCTGATTTCCTCCAAGTCCATGACAAGAATACATAATCAATGGTTTGCCACCATGGTTATTTTCACCAACATCCAGACACATGTGGTTACCTGTATTTTTTAACTAAAGAAAGGATGTTATCAGAAAAAAAAAAAAAAAAAAAGAAAGCAACTCACTGGGGACGAAAAAAATTTAAACTGTCTCATTTGTATACAAAACTAGCCTTTGGCTTTACAGCTGTTAGTGAATTTTTACCTTCTGCTATGCTGAAATCTGAAAATCCTGGTCTCTCAGTTAATCTTTCCTAACCAAAAGCCTAGTAACTACATTATGGTTGTCTACAGCCACACACTGTGAATTATTAGGCTACTTGTGTACAAGGTTACTGTTATTCAAATTACAATTTGAACAGATACACATAAAATATTCAAAATTGGAGGAAGGGGAAGATTTATTTGTAAATACATGCTAAACATTCACATTCACCTCAAACTAAGAATTATTCGTTTAATATTTGTTTGGTTTTAGTAATGCAAATTCTAAGAAGTTATTTGGCAGAAGAAATGTAATGGTCTTTTAAAAACCATACATATAGCTATAAACACACATTTTCTTCATCATAAACCTAATTCTCAGAAGCAAACGCTGTCCAGTTTTCCTTATTAGCATGAACTAAAAAAATCTCTCAGACCTCTTACTACATAAAGCTAAATTTACCTTGACAAATTCAGGAAATCTTTCACCACTTGGTTAGTACTTTTGTATAATTTTAACTGTTAGTGATAGGCAGAATGTTGCTTCTCTTAGCAGGCTGTAAGATCGCGTAAACCAAGACTACTGATAGTATTTAAGAAGCTTTGCTTACATATCATATTGCATTGACAAAGCTATAAAATATTCAAACAACAAGGTATGTAGAAGGGATTCTTTGTCAAGAGTAGTGACAGAAAACCCTAGAGCAGTTAACAGTAGCTAAAATGTAAATACTACAGCTAAAGCAGCACAAAAAATTAGAACTAACTTCTTGGAATATGGAAGACTATAGAAAATAATTAAACTTACATATCCAGAAAACAAAGGATTCAGATCTGGCACGTATGCTTCTGGATAAACATTACTGAGATACCACGTAAAATTTTTACACTGCAGACGCTGCCTTAAATCAAGTCTTTTTGAGATGTCTCCGAATGTTTTCTGTTAGACGAAGGGAAGTAAAGAAGGATGGAAGAGAAATATACTAATGTTACTCATATAAATTTTGTACATATAAATCTATGATATTCTGTATTGTAGCACTGAAGAAGTTTTAAGCTTGTTATTTTTTTTTTAAATACTGTACCTACTACAGTTACTGTTCTTTGTTTTTCAGTGTCATAAAACCACTGACATCTTGCACAAAGCATTTCAAAGGACATGCAAGAAAAATACATTGCAACATGGAAACAATAGAAGTATCCTTAGTCCCAAGAGTTTTAACACAGTGCCATAGTGGGAAAGTACAAACAAGACCATACTGATGATAGCTATAAAGATAACTGATCTCACTAAACGAGTGAGCTGAAATAATGAATTGGATTAATTAAATAATTAGCATAATAGTCAGTACAATGCAGAACCTCCCAGACAAAATTCAGTTGTCTAGCTGCTAAACATGCTTAGGAAATCTAAGGCCATTAGTGATACAATAGTCACAAAAATTTATCATACAAAGGGAGAAAAAATAGCTTCTCGAAGAAAACCCTAAATTCCAACTGGTGAAAGACCAATGTTCCAGAAAACTTACAAAAATAAATAAACCAACACTCAAAACCCCTGAATTTAACTTCAGTTTTTAAGCAGATAGATATCCATCCTGTCTCTATCACGGAATAATCTTTATTCTGCCACTAAAGACCAACAAAAGCTGCTTTTTAAGTAAAAACACTAAGCAACTTGAGACTAATCAGACATGACGTTTCTCACTCCAAAAAATAAGTTAGTTTACATTTTCTATGCTCAGTAGCTTTTCTCATGCTTTTCTGGTAGCTCCAGTAGCTACTCAGTGCAAACAACCCAGGATTTTAGAGAATGAATGAAAAAACCTAATCAGTCAAAAAAAACAACCACCCAAAACAACTCTATCACCACTCAAACACTAAAGTTTTTTTCATTTGTGTTGGGGCTACAGCGTTAAGCAAACTGAACCCTGTCTTTTGAGTTCTAGAATCCTTACATACTTTCTTAATAAATAACTTTTGCTCACCAAAACTTTCAACGCAGCAAGTGTGATTTCTAATACCACAACCACCACCACCTACTTGTTTCACAATTTTTGCTGCCTCTGTGTTTCTTCGGTAAAATATTTCTTTATATTCATCCATCCAGACTTCTGCAAGGCGGACTTGATTACGTGTGATCACTTGAGTACCTTTTGGGAAAGTATGGGGACTCTTGCTGCGAAAGACATGGCCAACAACAGAGCAAGGCATGATCTCCAACTGTCCACCACATTGCCATACCTAATAATAATATTTTTTGTGTAAGTGCACTGCAATTAGAATTAAGGGGGTGGAAAAAAATTCAGCAACATTATTATTCACCAGAAAAAAACCCAAACCACTAGCAAGAGTGCATACAATAATTAAATTTCCTATTCAGGTAAACCCTGGAAATGTACAGTTTGGCTACCAACCCTAAACACATTTAAAAAAAAAAAAAATTCAATTCAATGAGCATGTTTCTATTTTATTTCATAGGTCATTAGTAATTAATTTTCCATGTCCTAGTTGGCTGATCCAGCAGAGGAGTCAAGATCTAATTAATACTAATTTGTCCTCAAAAATCCTGTACACTGTCAGTATAGAGACCTCTGCTAATTCAGTAGCTAAACTTACTCTGAAAGACATTTCTATATTTTCACCTCCCCATATTTCCATTTCTTCATCATAGCTTCCAATGTGTTCGAAGTAGTCTTTTGATATTGAAAAGAGACCTCCCGCAAAAGTAGGTGTTCTGCAAAAGAGAAATTTACTGAGGAAGACAAGACTCAGATAGGTAGGGTTTTTTAAATATAGATGTAAAAACATGGCATAACTGTTCTAGGAAGTTTCCATGCACTTGTCAGTGTTTCACTACACTGATACATCTTCTTGGCATAGATAATACTTCAAGCAACTAAATCTGCCCACATTGAGCCTCATTTGACAGTTTTATTGTCATTCATTAACAACTGGTTTGGACTAATTACTGCTGGTATAAAAGACAGCATCAGGAAAAATAACATATTTTCCCTGTATGGAGGATATCAAGTAAAGTTATTACTCCTACAGATCAGTAATGTGTCTGCAGCCAAAGCACCTACAATTATCATCGAATGCACCACTCTAGCAGTCTAGTATTTTGGTGCACTGAACCTCTGTTGTCATCCTTTCAAGGATGATGAATGAGAAGCCAGAATCTGTGGTACTGTCTCTGAAAAGAACTGTTTATAAACCTCTTGTCCCCCCTCCCTCCTGATGAAAAAAATATACAGAAATTGCTTATAATGTCCCTAATGTATGTAGAAAAAAGGTAATGCAGAGTAATTACTGTCTTAAGGAGGCTATGTTTTTATGAAAGCTTTAAAATTTACAATGTGGTTCTTAAAGAAAGTATTACAAAAACCATCTAAGATGCTGAAACTTCTGACCATACTCATCTGAAGAACTAGTTCATTTACAAACTGCTGTTTGTAACAGAAAAAAATTTAAAATATTATCCAAATTATTTTTACCTAATTGGATAGGTTTCATCTTTTCTTCTTTTATTTTCATGTTTGGGAAGAGACTCCCATCCAAATGACAAACTCCAATCAAAATTTCCTCTGTTGTGGCTATGCCCGTAAGGAGATGGTTTACTGAATTCAAAAGTATTGAGATCTATAGAAGCAATATCAGGGCTTACAACAGCGACAGGGTTCTCAGCTATTCTTGCCAATAATGGCTCTAACCAGCCATAAAAGCATTCACCTATGGAGAAAATGGGAACAAGCACTGAATTTTTACTTGGCTATAAAGTAACACACAAGGAATGTTTTAACATGCCCAGAGCAAGTCGATAAGGACGGCTTTTAAATAGCATTGCAAATTATGCGTTCAATAATATAAAACAGCAATAGGAAAGACGATACATTGCTAATGTTCATAATTCATTAAAAAATCTGCAATGTTAAATCAAAGACAACAGCATTATAAACCAGACCTGGCATAGTTACAGGTTATACTTACAATGAGCATCCAGAAAGGTAAGGGTCTCTCCTGTTGCTACTGAAGCTCCCAACAACCGTGCAGTGATTAGACCTTTTCTTTCCTTTTGACGAACTACTTTAACTACTTGAAATTGTTTCACATATTCATCTAGTTTATCATGCAAGTATTCTAGAGAGAAAAATCAGTTTCAGGATATTCAGTGTACATACATATCACTGCTTAAAATTTCACATTATTAAACTAATAGGATAAACAATTCACACTAATCCCAGGAATGACCTCAACATCAAAGCAGTAAACAATTCCTGACTGTTGAACATTATTTTTAGGGGCTGAGTTTTGTTGGGGGTGGGGGTGTAGGAAGAGGTGACTGGCAGAGAACAGGAGATGGAACACTAAAAATATTCTAAAAGAGAAAGGACATGTGCTGGTACATATCTGCTGCAGTATAAAGAACTCTTTAAATGTGCAAAATTTGAGAAACAACCCTGCATCCCCATTAAACATCCCACATCATCTTCCTTCCTCTGCCCATCCGTAGTATTAAACTGTCTGGTTGAACATACCTGACATCTAAGTGTGTCAGTATACTAAATACAGACTTGCAAAAAGTGTTAAATACATTAATACACACATGTACATACAGACATGTTAACCTAAAGTTCAGCATATAAAGTTTTCTGAACTTGCATTTGCGATCACACTCAGTATACATTCAACTATTTTTTGGCAGTCAACTTCAGTACTGAAGATTATTTTTCCATTAAATATTTTTGCTTTATAGGAAAGACATTGCCCTTCATGTTTATGAAATTAATTTGCATAAAAACAATCACTATGATGAAATGCAAATTCCTACAAGCATTGGCCAATTTATCCTTGGATACTTTGTTCTCTAAATTGTAATTGGTTTGAAGCACAAATTACAGAGCTACTTGTCATTAAACCAGCTATGCAGTTTAAGCAGCACTAGAATTGGAATAATCAGAAATTGGGCTTAAAAATCTTTTAGAGGACAAGAATTTCATATTTGACTACCCTATGAAAAAAAGATGGGGGGAGAACTACTTTATATTTTATAGAAAAAGAAAGGATCAAAACCACTTAGGATATCATTATACAGGTTAATGGTGGTAAATAGATAACCGCTTTTAACCAATTTATCTGCAATAATAACATCTTAAATTAGAAAAAAAAAAGATCAAGAGAAAATAGAAAGACTTCTTACCATCTACACTGGCATCATCCACCAAAATAATCTCCTTTAGCAGTATGGCAGGAGACGTATACATCACGCTGTGAACAGTTCTGAGCAGAGTGGACCATGCTTCGTTATGAAAAACTATTATAACACTTGTGGTTGGCAATGGCGGGCAACGCTTAAACTTCTGTTCAATACATCTATGGATTAGAAAGTGTCAATGTTATAAAATGGACAAAAAGCTTTGACTCCAGCTCTTAAAAGAAATCCTTCTCTTTCTAATACAAAGCTTTACAGCTATGGACATTAAATGTTTCGGCTGTTCCACTTACTATCCCAGTTTTGGAGCACAAAGGCAGGTGCTCCAGCTGGAGAAGCTGTAAAAATATTTCTTAAAAATACGATGAATAAGAATTCCACTTGAACAACTGACTCAGTTCTGCTTCTGTCTCACAAACATTTCAGTATGTTTCAGGTAGCACCCAGGTCTTCTTTAGGAAAAAAAAATAAATATATTCTATTGAGAGCAGCAGATCCTGAGCTGCAAAATCAGACTTAAAGTCACTGTTACTGTTGAAACCCAAAAATACAAAGAAGAATATTTATTAGAATACTGCAGAGTTTGCAAAGAAAAAGAGAACAGAACAGAACTAATTCAGAACTTCAAAATTTTGTAGACATACCATATAATCCTTAGTGCAGCATATCCCATCCAAATTAAACAATTTTAAACCCACAGTTTTTCAAGACTGACATATTCTGAACATGCCTTTAAATCCAATTGCAAGTCAAGATGACAAGACAACACCATTGTATTCATAAACAGCACACTTATTGTTTATTGCCTGCCAACTTTACAGGCCGGAAGACTCCCCAAGGTAATTATCACAGCCATTGCCTCACAAAATACACAGGCAAAACCTCACCAGTTATGCTCTAGCAAAGGTTACCGCGAGCTGCATCACGTGTAATGTGGTATTCATACCACTGGGCAGCAGCTCAGTAAGGTTAGTCACTTCTGACAGATAGCTGAGAACATATAATCTGACACTGACAGAGACTGCTCATAACTAAAACCCACTCTATCCAAGTCCTACAGTCTTCATTAATAAAATTTTTCAAAACTACAAGATTGCCAAGATGTTCCGTTGCTTTGTTACATTGCATTGTTACAATTCCTAATTTACTAAATTATGCTGGTGGTTTTAACACTGAATACCAGGAAGAAAAAAAAAAAAAAAAAAAAAGGAGGTGGGGGGGAAATGGTGTTTAAATTGGGAAAAAGTTTAAACCATGTTTTTAGTTTTCTTCTAGGTAAAACTTAGCAGGCATCCAGAAAGTCATAAACTGTAGCTTAAAGGCAAAAGCAGAAAACCTTATTTAAATATGGTTACTTTGAATTTAAAACCATGAAAGAAGTGAGCCTTTCTAAACATTCTTGGCTTTGGCACTGCGGATCATTATGTACAGCCAATCATTATATATAGCTAGGAGACTTTCCTGAACTATCACCTAATGCTGAACTCAAATCACTTTGCAGTCTAAAAAAAAAAAAAAAAAAAGGAGGTTATCACAGAATCACAGAATCACAGAATCACAGAATGTTAGACATTTCAACATACTCAGGAGGTCGAGTGTCTGGTCCAAGATCTCGGTGTAAAGAAATCCTATCACTTGCAAATGCATTAAAACAGTGTTTTTCTTCTCCACGCTGTTTTTCTTTTTGCTCTTCTGAATTTAAGTTGGTAGTTTTAAATGGTTTACCAGAAGCTCCAGGAGCATTAGGATCTTGAAGGGGTCGATCTAGAAAAGGTTTTAGTTCCACTGCAGTATAATGTCCTGGCAAACAGTGTCTCTCTCCAGGAATCTTAGTTCGCCTAATAGGTGCTTTTATCTGCATTTTTGGCTTTGCACCTTTGATATTGTTCATAGCATTTAACACAAGACCTAATACATGACTTTTCTTTCCAACAACTGGCTCAATCCCAGCTTCATCTTTAAAATCATGAACACCTACTTCTCTTTGTAATAAAAATAAAAATATCAGAAAGACAAACACAATAATGCTAAACTTCCAAAGTTTCCAGTGAAAAAATAATTTCTTGAATAGTTTAGGTGTTTTTTTCAAAGCCATTCTAGTTTTAAAAAACTATGACGAGATGAAAGTTTCTATGAATGATATTCTTCAGACAGGTCACAGCATTTCTTGAAATTGTAACACCTGAAAATTAGAAGAAAATGTATTAATTTAGACATCTAGTATATTTAACAATGTAAAACCACAAGAAATTAATGGGCAGGAATTAATTCACAACTCCCAATGGTCAAACAGTATGTGTCCCTCACTTAAAGATGCATCAAATCTATAAAATAGCCAAAATGCAATTTTCCCTGTTTTTTGTTTTTTTGAATACACTTGAAGAACCAGAAAGCAGGCATACCTACATACCTACATAAAAAGTGAACTATAAAGACAGTAAGGACTTCTCAATCAACTTATCTGAACAATTTGGAAATTTCCAATATAAAAAAAAAAAATCCATTCCAAGATCAGACTTAAGTAATCAGAGTTCAAGTGGAAATTTTTTAGATTAATTTAGTTATCCAGTATACATGTTCAATGCAGACATAATACAGGTAATTTGGAGTAGGTTAATTTAGCCTGAGGATCATGTAATCATTCTGTATATTTTTTCATTCACTTGTGCTGAATTTTCTGGCATGTGCTACTGCAACTCATCAAGAGAACATGTCAAAGAGCTCTCCTATTTTAGGAACGCTGACACTATTTTTTTCACAGACAAGCAATTATTCAGTGGCTTGCAAAGATGGTGAACTATGAAAAACATTTGAGGACTACCAGAATCCAAGTGATTTTAATTAAATTCTCTCTGCAAAATTGCCAGTTTACAAGAAGGGGAAAAATAGCAACCAGCCTGAATTCAAAGCACAGTTTTATTTTTGTTTAAGTTGCATGTATGTGAACTGAGAAAAGAAATAAGCAGCATCTAGATAAAAGCCATAGTTAATTCCCACTTGCTAACTACTGACCAAAGAATTGCAAAAAACCACTTTTCTATTTCATTCTTTGAAATACAAATAGATTCTACATTTCTTAATTGGAATAACATACACTCAGGAAGAGATATAACTTATAGAAAAAAATCTCACCTGGTTTCCTTCCAGAATTTCTAGGATAACTTAAGCATCTGGACTTGTTCACATTATAGTTTATTTAAAAACTTATGTCAGCTTTTTCAATAAACCCATATATTCAGACCATAGTAGTTTTGCCACAGAGCTATTGTCATAAGAATGCAGAGAGGAAGCTCATTACAGCATTGCAATATAGACATTAAAACGTACCAAAAACGTGCTTCGCAAGGCCCACAAAATTTCCAAAAAAACACATTTTAAAAAATCCAGTCCACTGCCTCACACATTATTTTCCTGTTTTTCTTTAGTGATGAAAAATTTGTACTATAGTATTAACACATACGCACTGCAAGGCCAAGAATAAAAACTTTCTTTCCTGGTGAAAGGATTGCAACCAATTTACCAAGCCGCCAGATGAAAAAAATGCCTTGTTTTCTCACAATGTCTGGTTGGTTGACTTTGGCTGGCTGCCAGACACCCACCCTGCCACCCTCTCACTCCCCCTCCTCAACATGACGGCAGGGAGAAAATTAAACGGAAAAGCACGTGGGTTGAGATAAGGACAGTGTGATCACTTCCCAATTACTGTTGCAGGGACAACAGACTCAAGGATGATTAATGTAATTTATTGCCAATTACAAATAGAGTAGGATGGTGAGAAACAAAGACAAAACCAAAACTAGCTCCCCAAGCTCAATTTCATTCCTTGATTCCCAACTCTTCTATGTCTCTTCTCCTAAGTCGTGTAGAAGGGATAGAGAATGTCAATAGTGGCCAGCTTGTAACATCTCATCTCTGCACCTCCTTCCTCTTCACACTTTTCCCCTGCACCTACAGGGGTTCTCTCTGCAGGGTACAGTGCTTCAGCAGAAACTGCTCCGGCATGGGTCACCCACAGGTCGCAGTTCCTGTCAGGACCTTGCTCCTGCATGGGCTCTCCCTGGGCTGCAGCTTTCTTCAGGACATATCCACCCACTCCAACATGGGGTGCTGCACAGGCTGCAGCACAGATACCTGCTCCAGCATGGTCCTCCATGGGCTGCAGAGAAATACCTTCTTCACTGTGGTCTCCTCCATGGGTTGCAGCAGGACAACCTGTTTCACCAATATCTTCTCTGGTACCTGGAATACCTCCTTCCCTGACCTTTGTCTGGAGGGTTGTTTCTCTCACATTTTTCTCACTCCTCTCACAGCCGCTGTGCAGCATTTTTACCCTTTCTTAAATACCTTATCTTGGAGGCACCACCCGCTGCACTGGGTGGCTCAGCTTTGGCCAGCAGCAGGTCCGTTTTAGAGCTGGCTTGAACCAGCTGTGTCCAGCGCAGGGGCAGCCCTTGGTCTCTTCTCACAGAGGCCACCGCTGCAGCCATCCTCGCCGCCAAACCTTGCCATGTAAATACAATACACAATGTAAAACACTAAGCATACCTACAGATCAGCACCCAGCAAGAAGACTGTAACTTGTAAAACTACCATTGCTAAATCTGCAAGGGCTCTGCCTGAGTCTGCAGCTGCCGCAACCTGTTAACCAGGGCATTACTGTTTTTCAGCACACCACGCACAAGCACATATATTAGTAAATCCTAAAGCTTAGGAATGAATAAGCAATATCTCTTCCTCAAATAGAAAAAAGAAAACACATGTTTTTACATTTGAAGTACTTAATATTTGACAGAGGTCTGGCAACTTCTTTACCTCCCAAGCAGTCACTAGGCACAGTCAATCAGGCAGACACCTGGGGAGTGGGGCATTAGCACTGGTTAGCTGGTTGGTTTGTTCCCAAACATTGCTGCCCTCAAATTTATTTTATATCAATAAACATGCAACAATGTTCCCCAACTTCCTTTAGGCCTCTCCCTCTTGATAAAGAGACTTAAATCTGTCCATGACAAGAGAAATGTAAAGCTTTAATGAATGTGATGGTACAAGATATGCCAAGAAAGACACGTTAAAGTCAATCCTATATAGGAACATTGCCCATTTTACACTGAAATTATGCTTAAACTTGAGAACTTAATCAGTAGTTGATGACTGTCTCTTTTTGTTTCAATGAGCTGGCATGAGACTATTCAAATGCCAGAAAATTTACATGGTATGGCTACATATCTGTTACCTGCCTCAGTACCAGAGAAATCCTTTAACTTGTTTTAACAATGACTTTAAAAGAGTTATAGTTGCAGTTATCTGACTTCCATTATACATCTTCAGCATTTCAATTAACACAGCAATATTTACATATGCTAAGCTCACTACATCATAAGTTTTTTGCTAGTTTTATGTTTATTATATGAACTTTGGCTTCACTGCCTCCAGCAACAAAAAGGAAAAATGGGCTAGAAACTACCAAAGATTTCTTCCACAGCTTTTGAGCGCATACTTCAGACTTTTGCTGCTGCTGGCTTTGATGCTGACACACTAACCTCTTCTTCAGAAAATGTCAAAAGTACATACATAGTTTTTACCAAAAACTTACTGTTATTTCATATATATAACTATACTGTTATTTGGGATTATTTCCTGCACAAATTGAGCATATACAAATCCTTAGAATACTCATAATCAACACAATAGTCAAGCTATCTGTAAATCAAAATAACCAAAATCTAAAATCCATCAAGAATATTTCTTGCACTACTTGTGTTTTGCATACATCTGTCTTCAGACAAGTAAGTCATTACAGACTATAATGAGCAGGCCTAAAGAGCAACCAAGAACATAAAGCATTTGTTTTCCTATGTAACTATATCCATTTTTATCTGCATATACACTTTGACAACACATTTTCTTTTATTGGATACACCTGTCTTGTCTTCTCAGGTCTAACCAGAGCAGTCTGCCATAACACACAGGTGAAATGTGTCTGTCCCTGCAAATGAAAAAACAACTCACCTGAATTAAGTGGGTTGTGCAACAGAGCAACACAACCTTTTCAATGTGGATTAGTACACCCCAGCACTATACACAGCAGCATGCTGTGCACAGAAACAAGTGCAAGTGATGTTTCCTTTTTAAAGAAAGGATCAAGTCGTGGCCTTGGGATAGTATGTGCAGCAGAGGTGAAGTGGACAAACAAGGGCTCATTTGCCACCAATGTACAGCAAATATTTGTCTGATATAGAGACAAATGCCGAGTGTAGTTTTATTGACAAAACAGCTGATAGGGATATTGCTTACACTAGAAGAAGAGCTCTTCGTCGAACAAAACAGTAGAATTTTCCAGAATACAGACAACACTGTCCAAAGAACTTTTGCCATGAAAGCTGTATCTTCCTTAGGGTTTTTACCGGGATAATTTTGTAGTAAAAAAATGCAATCTTTATTCCCCACAAACGCCTCACACATTTTTATGGCATAGCAATGTCAGTAAGCACAGACCACGCTATTGTTCCATCCTCCAGGACATGCTGAAGAAATATGTGGCATGATTAAACTCCCTGAGGTGATTGTTTAGCAAAGTGTTTAATCTTCTATTCATTAGTGTTATTGTCATTAACAGTAGTCTGGATTCTTACAACACTTTGAAATCATTAGCCCTAAACATCAGAAGTTGGATTTTAGGTTTGTTTTTTTTTTTTTTTTTTTAGAATAAAACAACTAGAAAACGAATATGGACTGCAAAAATCTTCTAAAAGTGCCAAAAAGCAGCTGCCACACTACTTCAAACAACATCACATGGGTAGCATGTGAATTCAATACACAGTCTATACTATATCATGCCACCCACTAACTCTGATGTCAGACTGTCTGCAAAAACTCTGTCTTACAACAAAGCCTCACTACAGTAGCCAACATGTAGACAACTCTGACTTTTTGTTAGCTTGGTCTGAACAACATTGTAGACAATCATTCTTTAAATAAATTAAAATGTCAAGATAACCCAAACCAGCAGAAATTCTTTCAGACCATGCCAGTGAGGAGAAATCTACTTTTCTTTTACCTGAATGTTAAATAGGGTTCTAATGTTTCCTGAAAATGTTGCTTATGGAACATAAAAAATTAAAACTATAAAATACTAAGTAAAAAATGCTCAAGAATAAAATAACTAAAAAAGAAAAATAGGGAAAAACA